GGTCACCCGCCAGGTGCGATTCATCGACGACTTGCCTAACCCAGAGCAGGCAGACTTCCCGGTGCCACTGACATCCAGCGCAGATTCACGATCCTTTGCCATCGCACGCGCTCCTGCACGGCCAAGATCTAGAGTCAGGTCGGGCATGTCCTCCTACAGGCGGACTTCGGAAGAAAAATTTAAGATAGCCCCCAAATACCACAAAATGGCAAAGAATATGTAGCCTGGCGAAGGACCCAACCATTTGCAGTTCCAAGTACAGTCGCTGTATGCACCGCATTCGGAGGAGCTCCCTATAGGGCAGCGAAACGTGTGAGGGGTGTGCCAAAATTTGTCCGGCGGGCGCATGCGAAAGCAGCCACGGGGGCCGTTGGAGGAGCTCCCGATGGGGCCACGAAAAGCGTGAGTGGTGTGCCGAAATGGGTATGCGTGACGCATGCGGACGGTGGCACTGGGGCCTTCGGTGGATCTCCCTGTGGGGCCACGAAACGTGTGAGGGGTGTGCCGAAATGGGTGTGCGTGGCGCATGCGGGCGGTGGCACTGGGGCCTTCGGTGGAGCTCCCTGTGGGGCCACGAAACGTGTGAGGAGTGTGCCGAAATGGGTGTGCGTGACGCATGCGGGCGGTGGCACTGGGGCCTTCGGTGGAGCTCCCTATGGGGCCACGAGACGTGTGGGGAGTGTGCCGAAAGGAGTGTGCGTGACGCATGCGGACGGTGGCACTGGGGCCTTCGGTGGAGTTTTGCATGAGGCCACGAAACGTGTGAGGGGTGTGCCGAAATGGGTGTGCGTGACGCATGCGGGCGGTTGCACCGGGGCCTTCGGTGCTCCCTGTGGGGCCACGAAACGTGTGAGGGGTGTGCCGAAATGGGTGTGCGTGACGCATGCGGACGGTGGCACTGGGGCCTTCGGTGGAACTCCCTGTGGGGCCACGAAACGTGTGAGGGGTGTGCCGAAAGGGGTGTGCGTGACGCATGCGGGCGGTGGCACTGGGGCCTTATGTGCGAAACGTGCGCGGGGTGTGCCGAAATGGGTGTGCGTGACGCATGCGGGCGGTGGCACTGGAGCCTTCGGTGGAGCTCCCTATGGTGCCACGAAACGCGTGAGGGGTGTGCGTGTGTGCGTGACGCATGCGGGCGGTAGCACTGGCGCCGTCTGTGGAGCTCCCTATGGGGCCACGAAACGTGTGAGGGATGTGCTGAAATGGGTGTGCCTGACGCATGCGGGCGGTGCAGGCAGGAGGTGAGGAGGAAGGAAGGAGGGAAGGAGGGAACGCGGGGACCGTCTCTTCAAAACGAGGACCCAACACCACAGGATGGTAGGGGAAAGAATCGTCCCCAGACTATGTTTCACTATTTTTGAATACTCCTCCTGTAGAGGGGTGCGCCCGACTTACATCTAGAGCTCCGAAGTGCAACAGGAAAGTGGCAGGGAGTCATTGTCCAGTGGGCCTGCCACCACCCACTGAGAACCGGTCGGTGAGTGTTCGATGCTGAGTTCTCGACTCGGAGGAGGGGGGCAGACGTGGGAGGAGCGGCGGAGGAGGAGGAGGAAGGGGAGCAGGAGGAGGAGGAGGAGGAGGAGGAGGAGGAGGAGGAGGAAGGAGGAGGAGGAGCAGGAGGAGGACAGGGAGAGGGACGAGGGGGGTGGAAGGGGGAGGGGGAGAGAAGAGAGAGGCGCAGGAGGAGCAGCACTTGTGATGAAGCATTTCAGCAGTGAGCCCTGCAGCTGGCTGCGACGGACCTGAGCTGATGGATGCATGACGCCCTGCAACGCGAATACGTAGATCCTTCTTCAGTATCCCTTGCCATTGTCCACGTTCATCATCCGTCTCTGTTCTACCTCATAGATCTACATATATATACACATACATACATCCTCTCACTGTCTTCCCTTTTGGCACCCTGCCTTCTCTCCTCTCCCGCTCGTCGGTGCACCCTTACTTGGAGCGGATACGGTCCGAGATCGATCAGTTCCAGCCGCACGTCATGACAGCAGCCTCAAAGGAGAGCGCCTTTTCCAGGGGCGGGGGAGAAGGAGGAGGAGGAGCAGGAGGACGAAGAGAAGGAGGAAGACGAGGAGGACGAGCGAGCAAGAGCTCCAGTCCTCCTCCTCCTCGTCCTCCTCCTCCTCTCCTTCCTCCTCTCGTTCCTCCTCCTCCTCCTCCTCCTCCCTCCTCCTCCTCCCTCCTCCTCCTCCTCCTCTCCTCCTCCTCTCCTCCTCCTCCTCCTCCCCTCCTCTCCTCATCCCCCTCCTCTTCCTCCTCATCCTCCTCGTCCTCCTCCCCCCTCCCTCCTCCTCCTCCTCCTCCTCCTCCTCCTCCTCCTCCTCCTCTCCTCCTCCTCCTCCTCCTCCTCCTCCTCCTCCTCCTCCTCTCCTCCTCCTCCTCCTCTCTCTCTCCTCCTCCTCCTCCTCCTCCTCCTCCTCCTCCTCCTCCTCCTCCTCCTCCTCCTCCTCCTCTCCTCCTCCTCCTCCTCCTCCTCCTCCTCCTCCTCCTCCTCCCTCCTCCTCCTCCTCCTCCTCCTCCTCCTCCTCCTCCTCCTCCTCCTCCTCCTCCTCCTCCTCCTCCTCCTCCTCCTCCTCCTCCCTCCTCCTCCTCCTCCTCCTCCTCCTCCTCCTCCTCCTCCTCCTCCTCCTCCTCCTCCTCCTCCTCCTCCTCCTCCTCCTCCTCCTCCTCCTCCTCCTCCTCCTCCTCCTCCTCCTCCTCCCTCCTCCTCCTCCTCCTCCTCCTCCTCCTCCTCCTCCTCCTCCTCCTCCTCCTCCTCCTCCTCCTCCTCCTCCTCCTCCTCCTCCTCCTCCTCCTCCTCCTCCTCCTCCTCCTCCTCCTCCTCCTCCTCCTCCTCTCGCGCTCTCCTCTCGCGCTGATGGAGTGGGGATGAGGAGGGGAGGGCCGCACGAGGGCCGCAGCCTGGATAGAAACAAGATGGGCCCGCAGCCCGAAGCTTGAAGCAGGAAGACGAGGAGAGGGGGGGTGGGGACGGTCCAAAGGGCTTTTCCAAACCGACAGGGTCAGAAGTCGCTGGAGGACTTCTGGGAGTGACCCCTCAGAATTCGACCGCCTCGCTTGAGTGGTCGCCTGTTCATCACGCGTGATAAGGCCCAGGCCCGCATCTTGTTGGGGCGCTCTCCGTTGCAACACTTAGACTCCTCCGCGAGGCCTCGGAGGCGGAGGAGGAGGAGGAGGAGGAGGAGGAGGCGTGGATCGGCGGCGAGCGAGGGGGGGAAGCAAGAAGGAGACGACCTTCTCAGAAGGCGGCGGGACCCCTCCAAAGCCCTCTTCTGGCCTTCTGAGAGGTCTCCCGCGTCCCCGGGGGAGGCTTGGAGAACTTCCCGGACGGCCGGGGGACTTCCGAGCCTTCGGAGAAGGCCCGCCCCCTCGCACTTCCCCCCCCTCCCGGGCGCGCCGCCGAGTCGAGGAAGGGCAGCAGCGGGCAGGCGCCCTCGTCTGAGCTCCGGGGGGCCGCCGGGGCCTCTCGCGCTCCGTGCGGGCGCGCGGCGGCCGCGCCCGGGCTCGGAGGGCACGGGCGGCGGGGAGCGGTGCAGGGCCGGCACCTCGAGTTCGGAGCTCCAGGCCGCGTCGACTCGGGGCACGGACAGGAGGAGGACCGCTCCCTCCGCCTCCGCCCCCGCCCCCGCCCCCGCCCCCGCCCCCGCCCCCGCCTCCGCCTCGAAGGCACCGAGGCAAAGCGGAGCCACCTGCGGCCTTCGGCCGGCCCTGCGCCACGTGCGGCCTCCCCGCGCTGTCTGGTCCTCTCCGCTGAGGCCGTCGTTCCAGGGGTGCGAGGCGGGGCCGGTGCGCGAGGGGTGCGAGGAGGCAGAGGCAGTCGCCGCAGCCTCCATGAGGAAAGCGGCCGATCCACGGCAGGGTGGAGAAGGGGGAGAGGGAGGTCCAGATCAGAAAACGAGAGAGGAGAAGGAGAAGGGGGGGGGCGTCCATCCGACGAGGTAACCTCGGAGGAGCCTTTTTGTTCCCCCACAGGTGAGGAGGGGCCACAGGTGAGGAGGGGCCACAGGTGAGGAGGGGAGGACAAGGAGACGGAGGAGGAAGAGGAGGAGGAGGAGGAGGAGGCGCTCCACTCGCGCTGCTTCCCAGTGCCTCTCGGGCATCCGAGCTGGGGAGGGTGTAGGCTGCTGCTAGACACCTGGGGCAAACATGCCATCCAAAAGGGCGGCGTCTACCTCGTAAGGTTATGGCAGACAGGCATCTGGACAGGCCGCTACATCCTCTAGCCCCTCCTCTCCTCTTTGGCTTCCAATCTCCTCGCATGCCTTCCATCATCTTCCCCGTTCCCTCCACCTCGCCACCGTCCATACCATCCCCCACCGCCACCCCGACGGGTCATTCTGCGCTGCGAAAGCTGAAAGTCTAGTAGTGCCAAGCTGGCGATTGCTGCAGGGAACAATCCTCGGCTAAGTTGCCTCGATACGCGCGTTTTGAAACGCAACACGTCCCGTGTTCAAGACGTCCGTGTCAATACGTTGCGTGTTGGCTCCACGTATTGGACCACGTTTTGGCGAATGTATCGCGTCGGACCTACATTTTCAGCCGACGTGTTGAGTTCCGTATCGATACGGTACGTGTTGCGTGTTACGTATCGGGGCAGCTAAGATCCTCGGGGTTTGCGTCTCTTCCGTCAGACTGTTGAGCGTCGTTGGCGTTGATCATATGTTGTCGTTGCCAGCAGAACGATCTCATCCGAGCCGAGCTAGTCCATCGAGGCTTGGTTATGGGACTTCGCTGTCGCAGGTATCGTTCTGGCGTCAACCCGCTGCGTATGATGACCAGTGACTCGTCTTACGGCAAGGTTGGCGCCAATATGTCAATAAAAAGTAAGATGAAAAGTGTGCTCTTGCTGAGACGTGGCATCGTCAGCAACTATGCGCCGTCCCGACTGCACTGGACCATTGCGTTGCCGCGGACCCTTGTGGTAGGTCAGTTTACCTCATGCCGCAAGTCGATACCGCAGCTGCTTGTCTAGCCCCTACGCGGCCAAGTGGCGCATGCACTCCATCGAGCGGCCACCGCTGCCGTGGGCCACGGCTTCCGCGTCTGGGCATCTCGAGTATTGAACGACCTTTGTCGTTGATTCAAGTTGGCGCCATGCTATCACAAATCGCAGCTCGTATTCGCCGTCGGCCGTGCTGACCGCTCGCAGCGGCACGCCGCCGCTTTCGTTCCTCCTGTGGAACGATTTGATAGCGGCACAGCAGTAGTCTGCATACTATCCGTGGGCCACACTACGTCTGGATTAGCTTCAGGGGTTAAGGGCGCTCGTGACGACGGCGCTCTTGCCCCTCTCCCGTTTCTCGTAAAAGGAAGTCATGGTTGAACTACCGGACGTGCTGGTAAGACGGGCCAGGCGTTTCGGCGGAGGCCCTCGCATTGTACGAAATGGAGGGCACGTCGTGTTCAAAATCGCGCTCTCCGTTGAGCTGCTGTGGTAGATTGATGTGCTATCTGTCATTATTTCCCATGGAGGTTGGGCCTCTTTCAAATTGCGCGCCCGGCTGGAACGCCGCACAAAGCACATTCACACAATGCAACTACACCAGCCGCTACACGGGTGGAGGGTGCTCCATTGTCTGAGCTCTAGCGTGGGATGTCCTCACAAACATCAAATACTCAAAGATATATTCAGCAGTAGCAGTTTGTCACCACCGCCAGTGCGGTTTGTTTGTTCGTTCTGATTTGATGTGTCACGTGTCACATGTGCTGTCGGCTCAGTTTTAGTGTTGTTTTCGGGACAGTCGCAAGCCGTTGTGTGTTCAGTATGGGTTGCCTCTTTTCGCGCAGTGTTTATTCAATTGTCAGCTTTCCTCATAACCCATCGCCCGCTCGCGCCGATTTTCGGTGCTCAATGATTTTCCCATGCGTGTTCAGTTGTCTTAGAACATGGCCGGGCCTGCCGCTTCCAGAGTTGCCGTTGTCAAGCGCGGGTGTCTGTCTGAGTTCCCAGGTCACGACGCGTTTGTGCTGATGGGGTTGGTTTTATTCTTCAGTTGTCGAAGAGCGAAAGTTCTTTTAATTATGCTGGAAAGCATGGCCGCGTGTAGAGGCAATTGAAGGTTGGAGGGCGGTCTCGTCTCAAAGTCGAGCTCTCACTGCAGAGGCCCTCGCCGCTTGAATATCATACAATTCATACCTATTGGAGCACTTCGAAGGATGCAGAGCGCTTCTTTGTTCACACGTGTTCCTGCCGTGGGTTATGATGTTCAAACCTATTTTAGCCTTGACCACCAGAAAGAATTTCAAGCACCATGAAAGTACCGAAATTTTAGAGTTTTCACGTGTCGGACTTTGGGAGGCGATACTCGTTCGACAATATTTCGATAGTTTCCTGGACGCTCGGAAATATTTCTTGGATATGGCCCTTAAGTGCGGGAGGGGGCAACATGAAACTAGCAGCTTGAATCTCCCAGCCGAGCAGTCGCACGGATCGATGGCGGCCTGTGGTCAGCATCAGGTTCCCGCCTCGGTGCCGAGGGGAGTCGCCTTGAAAGCTTCGTGCAATTTCCAGGGCGGAGGCGCGCCATCTCTTTCGATTATTGTGTTCTGACTCGCTATGTCGTCGAACGCTCTTTGAAAGAAGTCTCGGCTACGCTAAATCATCGCAAGGCGCTCTCCACTCCAGTCCTCCCAAGGTCACGACTTTTGGCGGGGCCATGGGGTTCTGATCCTTTAACCCTTCAGTCCCCAAACTTACGGCCCTCTCGTGGGATTTCCTGTTTCTTCAAGCCTCCTGGCCTCGAACTTGTGGCTCAGCCGTGGGACCATGGAACCCGAGAGTTCGCGCTGGTGCCAAAGCATTTGACAGGTGAGACCATGGGGCAACCAGTGGGGTGCAACCGATGGAACCCAACAAATTCCGCGCCAGCGCAAGGGACAATGGGTGGGACCCATGGCGCAACCTGTACGGCCAACCTGCGACACCGGAACATCCGCGCCAGTGCAGGGGGTTCGTGGGCGGAGTCCATGTCGCAATCTATGGCGCCCGGATATCCGCGCCGGTTCTGGATCGCCGTGTTTGTGTAGTTCTCTGTATATATCTACATGTACATATCTATATATATATATACACTTATCTATGCACATGCACCCCCTCAAAAGTTACACACACACACACATCCGCGAGGAGATTGCTGACGCAGAGCTGTGTGAGCGGGGGGCCGGAGCCCTGTATCATGCCGATATCATCTTGGAATGTGTCCAAGCGTCCTAGCTCTGCGATATTGGAGGCGTTGCGGCTGATACGTCTAGGCCAAAGTCTTTCGCAAAGGATCACGCCTCGTCATCATCACTCCTCCTACTTGTTTTCCTCCTCCTCGTCCTGTCACATCCTCCTTCTCTTTCGAGCCCCTCGGGTTTTCTCATTTGACGGCCCTGTCGTCAGGCCCGTCCGTGCTCATCAACGCGCACCCTGCGTGCATGCAGCTGCCGCAGGACTGCCCCATTGTCATCGCCCAGGGAGACAAGGACGAGGCGCGACAGACCAGCGGAATATGTTTGCAGCCGTCTCGCGCCTCAATAGAGCGAGGCAACAAATACTCGAGAGTCTCTTTGTTCGGCGAGTGCCCTTTGGTAACCTTGGTGGACGCAGCGGCAGTGCGGCGAGCGCATCGGTCGTGGAGTGTGCTGTGCCAGATCTAGCCCTGGATGGCGTGCGCTGGAGGAGATGGAGGAGGACGAGGAGGAGAAGCTGATGAGGCAGCGGTGCCACTGCACAATAGGTAGTGGCCGAGGATGCGGGATGTGAAGGATGGCCGTTGGTAAGTTGTGGTGTCCCTCGAGCGTCCAAGGCAAAAGTTGAAGGGCCAACATGGCTACACGCCGGTCGTTGAAAGTAGGTCCTTCTGGATTCCCAGATCCCAATCTACTGCAAGCGCCTTCCTACTTCAAGAATCGGTATGCTTTTGCTGTGCTCTGTTTCTTTTCCGGGAGGGCGTGAACCCAATCTACCGCCTTCCTACTTCAAGGGTTTACCTACTTCTTCCGACCGATGGCTACGGAGGAGGAGCAGGAAGAGGATGCCCGCTGCCGCCCGCTCCTCCCGGAGGTGTACGCGGTGCAGCGGGAGACCGCCGAGGCTCTGATCTCCACGGGCTCGCAGGACAAGACGTTCCTCCTCTGGATCGGCAGCAGCGGCCTGCTGCCACAGGCGGGAGGGAGAAGAGGCGGGGGAGGGAGAAGAAGGTGGGGACGCATAGTGACGAGAAGGAGGAGGCGGCGGAGGAGGAAAGGGAGGAGCGGCGGAGGGAGGAGTAGGGGGGGTGGGGAGGAAGTGTGGAGGAGGATGTGGGAGGGAGGACAATGAGGTGGAGATGGTGGTGGATGACTGGGAGCAGTGAGTGGGAGCAGCGGGTGGGGACAAGGGGATGGGGGTCGGGTGGGGGGGGGGAGATGGCGGGCGGACGGGGGAGGATGCAGAGCAGAGAGAGAGAGAGAGAGGTGGGAGAGGGGGAGAGGGCAGGCAGCAGCTTGACGCTGCATGGGAAGCCGATGGGAGCACGCTCCACCCTGCATCGCCCAGGCGGTGCCATACCACCCCCAAGTCTGTATTTAAGACATGCGCACGGGCGGACGGGGGAGGATGCAGAGCAGAGAGAGATAGAGAGGTGGGAGAGGGGGAGAGGGCAGGCAGCAGCTTGACGCTGCATGGGAAGCCGATGGGAGCACGCTCCACCCTGCATCGCCCAGGCGGTGCCATACCACCCCCAAGTCTGTATTTAAGACATGAGCACGATCAGAAATGAACGACGTGTACTTTACTCTCCTCCCCATTTCCTGGACGTCGAAGCAAGCGCTGGGATGACGGAAGCAACACCGTCCTTCGTCAGCGCAGGCGACACCTGCCCACCAACTACACTTGCCGACACGAAGGAGCGCGCCAAACGAATGCACATGGGCACGGTTGGTCCAAGATGTTATCACATGGACGACCTTCGAGCACGAGTACGCCGACGAAGCATGAGCAGACACACCCGACGGGACGACATAACCAACATATTGACGTCAACATCAGCACCGATGCTTTCATGACCCACCCCCTCGCGCATGATGTGCGCATGCACTCGACGGTAACCATCAGATTCCTGTGGCAACGGCCTCACCCCCACGGGTCCCAGCGAGGCCCGGGCGATTGCCCGCAGTGCTGGTCGTCTCCTCTCTCGTGTGTCCGGGAGCAGCTCCTGACCCGGCTGCTTCCAGCATGCGGTTGTCGGGTCGGGCGAAAGGGGGGGATTGGGGAAGGGGGGGTTACGAAATTTGCTGCATGCAGCTGGTTTCGGCCTCACCGAGGGGCCCATTCCTCGATACATGGCCGCCTCCGGCGCCGTGAGGCGCCAGGAAAATCAGCCACGTGAGCTGATTCTCAAACCCCCCCTTTGCTATCCCCCCCCTTTCGCCCGACCCGAGGTTGGCCGGGTCCGCCCGGGACTTTCCCGCGGTCCCGCCCGTGGGAGCTCGTGGGCGCCCTGCGCCTCGGCTGGGTCCGCCGAGGCTGCGCCCGGTGCCCGCCCCGTGGGCGCCTGGTGGGCGCCCTGTGCCCCGGGTGGAATCCGCCGGCGTTTCGCCCGGTGCCCGCCTGTCGGCGCAGCGTGGGCGCCCCGCGCCCTGGCTCGTAATAAAGGGAGGGGGGTCTCATTTCGGGGGGGTCTCTTCCAGGCTGTCTTGGAGGGCCTGGGGGGTCTGGGGACGATGTTTTGGAGGGTTCTCCCACGGGGGAGGTCTGAAATGGCTTACACACGGCGTGGCCCACACCGCAAACCTCACACCGCATAGCTGCCAGCGCCTAGCTTGCACAGCATGGCTCGCGCCACATAGAGATCGCATCGCATAGCCTGCACAACATAGCTCACACCACACAGCTTGCACAGCCAAGCTTGCAGCACATGGCTCGCACTACACAGCTCACAAAACATAGCAAACACCACATAGCTTACTGCGCATCGTTTTCACCTCCACAGTACAGAGACGCATTGCGTGGAGCCCGCACTGGCTAACATGCTTATTATGCTTATTGCTACTGGTATTGCATTCATTGTTCCTCATCCCCCTTCTCGACCAGGCCGAGGATTAGGATAACTAGCCCAAGTGCTGCCCGGAATTCTCCCAGAGTCATTCGTGGCGAGCTCTAGAAGGGCCGTTTCGCCAGGTACATCCTCCAGGCACGCCAGCTCCCCGGAATTCCCGACTTGTTTGTGCCCGATGTTGTCATCGTCCTGCTTTCGTCTGGCCTTGAACCCGGTGGCCGCTCTGGCGCGAGTTGCTTGGCGCACGAGGCCCCCCCAGCCCCCCCGCGCGCTTGCGTTAGGATGCAACTTCTGGGAGGTCAAAAGTTTAGCTTCGGCGCTGGCACATCCGTGGCCGAAAACAGGCCTAATCCGACACAATAGTGTTTCATTCCGCCCAATCCCGTTTGATTCGAACTCATCCATCTGGCCGCGTCCTGGGCTTATTCTGGGCTGATCCGATTGAATGATCTGTATCTGTGCAATCGGGCTTAAAACGTTGGGGGCGATCGGTAAGGAATGTGACCTGGAGGCTTCAGACCCTGGAGGAGTCCTTATCTGACGAGGGCGGCGGTGATATCCGTGGCCAAGCTTCAACTGGTGCTCCACCGGCTTCCAGACGTTGGACTCCGTGTTGAAGGTTTCCTTATCCAGTGCCCTCCCCCTAGCCTCTTGATCGTTCTTACGAAGGCCTCCCACAGATTGCCTCCTCATCCGTGCCCCAGCTCCCGCGGGGCGCCGACAGATGGGCGCCGCTGGCTCCAGCGCCGAGGCCGGCCAGGACCCGAGGCGCCCCGCGAGGTGCCCGACGCGGCTGCCGGACGAGGACACGGGCCGCAGAGCACACGGGGGGCGGGGAGAGGAGGAGGAGGAGGAGGAGGAGGAGGAGGAGCAGGAGGAGGAGGAGGAGGAGGAGGAGCGGCAGGCCAGCCCCCCGCGGAGAGCGGAGGGCCCCCCCGTGGGCCCATTGTTCCTTGGGGGGGGCAGGGGGGGCGACTCTCCTTGTCTGTCGCCGTCGCCCCCCCGACCCCACGCTACGGTGATGAGGAGGTTGAGGAGGAGGACGTCTGGCGGCGGCGACGGTAGATCGGGCGCGGCCGCGGCGGCGCGGGCGCCCGCGGTGCGCACACTACGGACAACGGTCCGCCAGAGGGAGCGCAGCAGCAGTAGGAGGAGGAGGAGGAGGACCAGTGTAAACCCACGAGTCATCAACGATGTTGGAATCAACCCTTCCTCCAAGCTCCCTCTTCATAGGCCCCTGCAGGGCTTCACTTCCACTGAGGGAACTGCCTCGTCGGAAGACAACCGTTTGCAGACCCTGAAGCATGTCAAAACATGATTCTCGGGATTCCAACGCCACAGATCAACCTGACGGTTGCGTCTGGACGATCCTGAATTGTGCCAGAACGCCGTTCCTGGGACTTGAAAACAGCGAATCAATGTAGCGGTTGCACCCTCAGAGTCTTGAATCCTTCCAAATCCAAATCACCGTCTTTGGTACGCTGATCATGGGAAGCCGTGAAATTCTTGCAACTATGTACAAAAAAGAATATACGCGGCGTTAAGGCGAGAGCCACATTTTGAAAAGGAACCGCCCTCAATCCGTGAAGCTCTTGCAGATGTGTGAAACGAATGCGCGCGGCGCTAAGTAAGGCGAGAGCCACATTTTGAAAACGGGTGATCTTCAACCCGTGGAACTTTAGCAAGTTTGTAAAACGAATGTGCGCCGCGCTCAGGGGAGAGCCACATTTTGAAAACCACCCGCCTTCAATCCGCGAAACTCTTGCAAGTTTTAAGAACGAATACGCGCGGCGCTAAGGCGAGAACCAAATTTGAAAACGACCCGACCTCCATCTGTGAAATTGTTGCCAATGTCTAAGCTTCAGGGTCATCAATGGTGAGGAAGTCTTAGGCGAAACGCCCGGCCCGCCCAACACTGGCCTCGGGGTGCGACAGGGAGAGGAGGAGGAGGAGAAGGAGGAGGAGGAGGAGGAGGAGGAGGAGGAGGAGGAGGAGCAGGAGGGGGAGGGGAAGGGGGAGGAAGAGGAGGAGGAGGAGAAGGAAGGGCAAGGGGGGCCCAGGCCCCTCGAGTCGCGAACAAAAGCCGAGGCGTTTGACACCGTTCTGCCTCCGGAGGCCCTCACGTTGCCCCATGGACCGTCCAATAAAGACGGCCCGGGATGGTCATCCGGTCCCTGGGAGTGCGTCGAGACCGTTGGAAGATCGACGTCGCGAAAGAGTCACAGCGTCGGGAGCCTGGGGGGCGCACGGTGAGGAAGCTTGGCTTGGCGCGTCGGGCCGCCAGTTTTGGCCCACCGCGCTTCGTCGCGACACGCGATGCACGCCCCCACTCCGAAGCGCCAACGTGCCTATCTGCTCCCGGTCTCCCGCCCCGCGGAGCGGAGCGACACGCTATCGGCTCGCAGGGAACAGCGTGTCGCCAGGGCCGCCGCCGCGACACGCTGTGCAACAGCTCCTGATCCTAGAGGAGCTGGCCGGGGTGGATGGAGGAGGGGAGATGTGGCTCCTCCTGGGGATCTCCCATGGCGCCCTCGGGTGGGGCCCCAGGAGGGTCCGCGGGGCTGGCCGGCCCTGGGCGGTTTTGAGTCGGGGGTGAGGGCGCCCCGGGCCAGCCTCCTCGGGAGGGCAGAGCTCCTCAGGCTGACCCTCGGAGGCGCCCGAGGCGGCTTCGGCGAAGCCTCCGAGCCCTTCTGAGCAATCCTCCCTCCCCCTGCCTTGTCCAGAGGCGCCAGGGGGGGTCGCCAGCTTCTCTTGAGGATCGAGGTTCGAGGATCAAGGGTCGAGGATGGTTTCGAACGATTTGCAGTGTCGGGGGAGGTTCCGGAAGGCTTGGGGGGGACCTTGAGGGCCTTCCTCCTCGGGGAGATGGCGACCCCCCTTAGCGTCGAACTTTTTTGGCATCTCGTCCTCATCCTCCTCCTTCTCCTACTCCTCCTCCTCCTCCTCCTCCTCCTCCTCCTCCTCCTCCTCCTCCTCCTCCTCATCATCATCATCATCATCATCATCATCATCGTCCCCCTCCTCCTCCTCGTCCTCCTCCATTCCTTCTCCTGATAGATAACTCATCCCTGTCGCACCCCGAGGCCAATTTTTAGGGCGGGCCCGGCGTTTCGCTTGAGACTTATTCACCATTTATGACTCAAAAGCTTAAGAAATAACAACAGCTTCACAGATGGAGGGCGGGTCGTTTTCAACATGTGGCTCTCGCATTGGCGCCCCGCATATTTGTTGTAAAACATTGCAAGAGTTTCACGGATTGAGGGCGGGTGGTTTTCAAAATGTGGCTCTCGCATTGGCGCCGCGCGCATTCTTTGTAAAAGATGCAGGAGCTTCACGGATTGAGGGCGGGTGGTTTTCAAAATGTGACTCTCGCCTTAGAGCCGCGCACATTCGTTTCACAAATTTGCAAGAACTTCACGGATTGAGGGCAGTTCCTTTTCCAAATGTGGTTCTCGCCTTAGCGCCACGCACATTCGCTTTAAACATGTGCAAGGCTTTCACTGATTCCCATGATCAGCGTACCAAAAGCAGTGATTTGGAAGGATTCAGGATTATGCGGGTGCAACAGTTATGTTGATTCGCGATGTTGAAATCCAAAAAATGGCGGTATGGCACGATTCCGGCTCGCCAAAACGCAGCAGTCAGGTTGGTACGTGGCGTTGAAATCCAAAGAACAATGTTTTGGCATGCTTCAGGATTTTCAAAAAGTTGTCATCGAACGAGGCAGTTCCCTCAATTGAAATGAACCGTTGTAGGGGCCTATAAAGAGGGAGCTTGGAAGGAGGGTCAACTCCAACACCGTTAATGACTCTTGGGTTTACACTGGTCCTCCTCCTCCTCTTCCTCCAGGGCCCGGGTCGAAATCGGCCCAAGCCCTTTGGCGTGATTCTCTTGTACAGTGTGTCTAGAGATCCGACCACTTCATTCCGGCACGGCACCGACCCCCCCATCCCGCGTTCCATGTCCGCATCACCCCGACCACCAGCCAGCGCGCCCCCTCCGCCCCGACCCCTTATTTCGGCACGGCACCGCCCCCCCCATCGCGCACGCCCCCTCCGCATCACCCCACCCGCTGGCTGGCGGGCGGGGGGGGTGCGGAGGGGGCGCTTGGGATGAGGGGGGGCGGTGCCGTGCCGAGGGCTCGGGGCGGTGGGGGCGCGCTGGCCGGTGCGCCCCTCCGCCCCGACCCTTGGGCAATCGGTCACGGCACCGCCTCCCTCGCCTCCCCCATCCCAAGCGCCACTCCATCACCCACACCAGCGAGCGCGCCCCTCCGCCCCGACCCTTTGTATTTCGGCCCGGCACCGCCCCTCCGCCCAGCCGCGCGCCCCCGCCGGCCATCCACCCAATTTACTGCAATGCCAGCGCGTTTCCCTCCGCCCCGACTTTTTATTCGGAACGGCACCGCCCCCCCATCCCGCTCGCATCTCCGACGCCTTCCACCAACCAGCAAGTGCGCGCCCCCTTTACTATTTTTTATTTTTTTATACTCTTTTTGTTGTTTTTTTTTTATTTTTTTTTTCTTGCTTTTACTATAGACCCTCCGCATCCTCCCACCTACCAGCCAGCGCGCCCCCTCCGGCCAGCGCCCCCTCCGCACCCCCCCGACCGCCAGCAGTCACACGCCCATCCGCCCCGACACCTTTGTTTCGACACGGCACCGCCCCCTCGCCCAGACCTGTTCATTTCGGCACGGCACCGCCCCCTTCCCACCTCGCACGCCCCCCCACATCACCCCACCCACCAGCCAGCGCGCCCCATCCGCCCCGACTTGTTTATTTCGGCACGGCACCGCCCCGCCCCGACCCCTCACTACAGGCCCTCAGCCCGCGCCCCCTCCGCACCCCCCTATCCGCCAGCCAGCGCGCCCCCTCAGCCACGACCCCTTCAGTTCGGCGCGGCACTGCCCCGTCCGCCCTGATCCCTTCATTTCGGCACGGCACTGCCCCGTCCGCCCTGATCCCTTCATTTCGGCACGGCACCGCCCCCCCCATCCCGAGCGCCCCCTCCGCATCCCCCCGTACTCCAGCCGACGCGCCCCTTTCTTTTTTTTTTTTTTTTCTTTTTTTTTTTGTTTTTTTTTCTTTTTTTTTTTCTCTCACAGACCCTTTCATTCCGGCACTCGGCACCGGGCCCCCCCATCCCACGTGCCCCCTCCATCACCCCATCCACCAGCCAGCGCGCCCCCTCCGCCTCCTCCTTCCTTTCTGTGCCAGAGCCATGGCACGGGGGGGGCCTGCTGCCGTCAGAGAAGGCTGCCCACCCTCGACCTCGTCCCCCCTTCTGCGCGCCGCGAGAGGACGATTCGAGCTCATCTTCAGGCTCCTCGTCGTCCGACGGCGAGGGTGACCGGCAGGGCCGGGTGGACCGCCTGGCCTCCGCGAGCCGCACGGGCGTGCTGCTCGAGGTGATGCTGCCGAGGCAGCAGGAGACAGCTCGATCGACACTGCGCCTCAACCCTCGCCGCCTTTCTCGTCTCCTGCTCATAGCTCTTCCTCTCCAGCGTCGGTTTCTCCTCCTCTTCCTCTTCCTCCTCCTCCTCCTCCTCTTCCGCCTCCTCCCCCTCCTTCTCCCCCTCCTCCTCCTCCTCCACCTCCTCCTCCACTCCCGTTCCGTATGGATGATTCATCCCTGTCGCACCCCGAGGCCAGTCGAAAGGACAGACCGGGCGTTTCGCTTGAGATGTCCTTACCATTTATGGCCCTGAGGCTTAGGAAGTGGCAGCAGTTTCATATAGGGAGGGCGTGCCGCTTCCAACACGTGCCTCTCGCTTAAGCACTGCGCTCATTCGTTTTTGATATTGCCAGAGTTTCACGGATTGAGGGCGGGAATTTTCACAATGTGGTTCTCGCATTATGGTTGCGCACATTTGTCTTAAAGCATTGCCAAAGCTTCACGGATTGAGGGCGGGCCGTTTTCAACATGTATTTATCGTTTCAGCGCCGCGCAAGTTCGTCTGACAAATTTGCAAGAGCTTCACGTATTGAGGGCAGCTCTTGTCCAACATGTGGTTCTCGCCCTAGCGCCGCGCACACTCGTCTTCAACACCTACAAGAGTTTCACCGATTCCAATGGCCAACGTACGTGAAATAGTGTTTGGGAACGGTTCGGGAATGTCAGGGCGCAACAGTTACGTTGATTCGCGGTGCTGAAATCCAGGAATGGTGTTCTGGCATTTTGACAGAATTCAGGATCGTCAAAACGCAACTGTCAGGTCGAGTCGTGGCGCTGGAGTCCCCAGAAATGTGTTTTGGCAGGCTGCAGGATCTTCAAACGGTTGTCTCCCCATGGGACATTTTCCTCAGTGGAAGTGAACCCTTGTCGGGGCCTATGAAGAGGGAGCTTTGAGACAGGGTATGTTCCAGCATCGTTGGTGAGCCTTGGGATTTCACTAGTCTCCTCTCCTGCTCCTCCTCTTTCCGCTTCTCCTCCTTCTCCTCCTCCTCCGCTTCCTCGAGCGTCGAGCCATGCCGAATCCCTCGGCCTCATCCCACAGCTCGAGCGCCCTGTTAACCATTCCTCCATAGCGCCCAGTAGCGATCGATTGGTCCCATGTGATCCGATCAATCCGATTCGACATCGATGTCGGCCGGATCGGTGATATTCGATTTCGATGTTCCGACGATCCGATGCGGCCCGATATTTGCGTGGCGTTGTTTTGTACCCTGGCGCGGACAATCCGATTCGATTCGGACTTCGTGCCGATGTCGGCCGATTCGATGCACGTTTCGATTCGACCCGATTTTCGGATTCGATGCTGACTGGTCCTGCAGGAGCGCAAGCCTGTGCTGAAGAGCGCCCTGACGGAGGACTGGGAGGGGACCGAGGACCTCAGGGAATAACGACATACCGCTGCGATGGGAGTGCCCGTCTCTCGTTGTCGCCACCTTGGGCCTCCTCGTGGGCCATCGTCGCCACTGCTGGATTCGCTTCGGCATCCTGGTCAGAATGCACCCGGGCGAAGTCACGGGAGTAGCGATGTCGGTACGGTGGAGGCGTTTGTGAAGGAAAGTGCCCAGGAGGCTTCAGACCCCGGAGGATTCCTTATCTGATGAGGGCGGCGGTGAAGTCCATGGCCAAGCTTCAATTGGTGTTCACCAGCTTTCAGACCCATCCTCGGGATTCCAGACCCTGGATTCTTTATCCTAGGATTTTTTATCCAATGCGCTAACCGTATACTCTTGTTCTCTTAGAGGACCAGTTCACGCCGCAAACAGTCTTGCTGCACGTCTACGACCTGGACGAGTACCAGGAGGCCAACCAACTGCTGAGCTTTGCCGTGGACGAGGTGAGCCTTGGAGGCGCCTTCCATACAGGAGTCGAAGTTTATGGTGGGGAATGGTCATTCGGAACCTCTGGCGTGAAGTGCGAGGTGCCCCGGACGGCGTCGGGCCACATATACCGCTGCACAGTCCCGCTGGGAACCACCGGGCTGACTGCGCGGGAGGTGGCCACGATCCTCCACGAAATCGTTCAGGAATGGCGGGGGAAGGACTATGACCTGCTGACTAAGAATATGTGGAGCTCTGTCTCTTGCCGCCTGCCACCCCAGCCCACGTATTAAGGTTGGTCCAGTGCTTATCAGGGCCCCTCCTAGGGCTATGCATTACATATTGGTGGCTACGATGTTAAGATGTTACGTAGGGGAGCTGGATGCCGTCATGTTTATTTAGGTTGCAAGATCTCCACCAGGAGATGCCACCACCCAGGCTTCAGCCAAGTTTTGCCAAGTGAGAAGCAGCCAGCACGGGCAAAGGTAATCCGTGTATGATTGCTCAACGGAGGAAGAAGAGCGAAGAACAGTGCGTAGGACGTGTGTTATGAAGTCAGGGATGTGTCAAGTGGCATGTTGGGGCCTCGATGAGGTTTCGTGGAGGCTGCTGGATGCAGCTTGGAGCCGTGCTGAAGCACCTTGACGTCCGTCCCTGTGCAGCCGTGGATGCAGGTTGCAGCCGTACCGTCCGAGCTCGTTGGGCGCTTCTTCGGCCCATCAGTGTGAACCATGCTTGAGCATCTTGAGTTCTCTTGGGGTTCACCTCGGGCTTATCTCCGCTTGCATTTGGGACACCCTGGGGCCATATTTGGGGGGGGTCCTGCGGCTGTCTCCTGCCCTGTCGGTAGCCTCCGAGGGCCTCCGGAGCTGCATCCCGGGTGAGGTTTTCTTTGGTTTCTCAGACCATCCAAAGTCAGCGGGATCGTTGAGGGAGGAATTGGCAGCAGCCTGAGCGTTGGACGAGCCCTTTGGTACGTTGCCAGCCGCAGGCATCTGCGGCCACGTGGAGTCCGCCATGTCATCGGCGACGGAGAAGTGCAGAGCCAACAGTGCGGCCAAGAATCGGGTTTGGACAGAACCCCCACCCTGACACGTCGATTAGAGAATCGTCCGTTTCCGGTTTTCGAGAGGGCGCCGCGGCCGTCATTTTCAAGGCTTGCGCCCGCCAGGTTTGGGCCCGAGGTCGTTTTCACTAAACCACCTTTTACTAAAGCGGGAACAGCGGACAGATCTGTCCCTTCGAACCAGACGACTTGTTTGAGGGAGCGACGAGCAGCGCGGAAAGCCGAGGGACGGCCGCAGGCCAACCGAGTGCAGCAGCAAGGATGGGAAGGCACACGAGAGACATCGGGACACACATGCAGCGCAAGCAAGACAGGATGGACGGCAGATTGCGAGAATTTGCTGCCATTGGGAGACCACAAGGGATCGGCAACAGGTTGAAGAAGCAGCCGCCGACTTGCGCGAAGAACAACGAGGGGGCGGAAATCTTGGACTGACAGGGCGTCGCAGACGCCTTTGCTATGTGTGCATGGGGATCTGCATTCCAGAAAGCACTGCCCTGGGCCCTGGGGAAGCGGGGATTACGTTCTACAGATGCGCAGTCGGGCACGCCGCCGGCCACAACAGAAGAGGTCCGAGCACAGATGAAAAAATTGATGAAGGTCGAGGCGTCGGACCCGGCCGGCGTCATTGCAGGGATGTTCGAAGTCAAAGTTGATGGCGATTACGAGTTGGAAGTGTTAACCCGCGTCTTAACGAATATGTTGGCAGATGGGGAAGAGCTGTCACAGATATGGAGGCACACGTGAATCAACACACTTCCCACCCCCGCTGAAGAAACAGCTCTACATTGCCGAGCGGCCATCGACTTATCTTTAGTATTCCGATGTTGCACAAACTGTTCAGCATGGTATTACATGGATGACTGTTGGTGCACCACACAGTACAACAATCGGTGGACCAAGCTGGATTTCGGAAAGGATATAGTTGCGATATCATTTGTTGACGTATGCGCACAGTGAACCTCTGAGTGGTTGCAGTGGATCTCGAACAGGCGTTTGATTATGTCAACCACGCGTTACCGCAGACGTCCTTGAATGAGCAAGGCGCTCCTGAATCCTAACTCCAAGTATTGCGCAATTTCCTGTATTGAGCAGACAGGGTAAACGCACGAGTCGCGTCTTCATTTTGGAAGAGGAACAAAACAAGTGGATCCGATGAGCCCCTCTGTCCAATAATATGATGGGGTCAAGAGTCCGTGGCGTGAAACAGGTATTGAAAAAGAAAGGCTACGGAGTGAAAGTGGGAAGGGCCAAACATCTCGTGAATCTCCGACTCGCGGATGACATTCTGTTGATTGGAGCCACGCGCGTACAGGTGCGGCACATGTCGGGCGGTCGACTGAAGGTACACATGGGGAAGACAAAAGCAGGTTCAAGCAGCGTTGTAAGTCTCACGTGCAAGTCGGGGATGGCAGGGTCGAAGTGCTCCCGGTGGACGGTCGCGTTTCTGACATTGCTCGCACATTGTGTTTTCGGGGTCTCCACGACGTACAAACGCGGAGACGCATTGCGGAAGGATGGGGGGGCTTTCGGCAAATCTAGAACAGCGTTGCGAAACAAGCATTATCTCTTGAGGCCCCAGCTTCGCCTGTTCGGCGCCGCGGTGTCATCAACTGCCCTAGGCGGGAGCGCCTCGTAGACCATGACGGCGGCTAGGGAGACCAAGCATCATATTGAATTGCGCAACATGTTTCAGAAAATTCGTGCGACGTCGCCGATGAGACCAGTCTTTGTGGACGGCGTAGACGAGCCGCACGTGGACTGGATCTGCCACGCAGCCTGGAAAGCAGCGGGGTTCGAGGCGGGTTTTCAAACTTGGGCGCTACTACAGCAGCGTTGGGAGAAGAAGCCGCTCTGCTGCACAGGACCTCCAACAGCACCGATGGTAGGTGATCAAAAGCGGTGCTGGGCTGGAGGCCGGCCGGGCGACGGGCGCCAGGCCGGCCGCTGAAACGCTGGACAGACGACACCATCAGCAGTTAAGAAGTCGGGCTCAAGAATTCGAAGTTGCTAAAAGTTTGGGGTGACATCATCAGCAGTTAAACGGCTAAGAAAGTGGGATTGTGAGAAGCAGCTTTCCGGCAGCCCGCGCAGGGCGCGCGCTGGCCTCAGCGCCAGCCTCCCGCGCTATGACGTAGCCTCCTCATCATATGCTCCTTTGCCCCTTGCACGATCGACGCCGCCACCACGTTGCCACGCTCACCCTACCAGCTTCCACCATTGTCGTGATTCACCCACTCCGCTCAATGATTTCACGACAGCAGGCAGCACCACGCTTCCTTCTTCCAGGGAAGCCTTGTCTCGTCAGACTGCGCCAGACATGTGCGCACCCTGTTATTTCACAAGGTGCATGCCCCTCCGACTCACCCGGTCCCAACATCGGGGTCCGTGTCCTGCCCAGTCCACCAGTCCTACAAGTAATTGCCACGTTCCCCTTCCACGGAGGCCTCGTCAGACTGCGCTCACCTTGCGAACGATCTTAATTATCAGGGTTCGTGCCCCTCCCACCGCATCAGCCCCGTCAGTACCGCACGTTTTTTCTCACCGCCGTATTTCCCGATATCGTCAGATGTTGTTTCTCCAGCCGCGCTTAACTAAAATTTATTCATTGAGGTCGCTGGCACAAAGGTTCCGATGCTTGAGCATGTTCGCCTTATTGTGTATCCGTTTTTGGGTGAACAAACACCTCTTTGCGAGTTTGCCTCAGTCGGCGGTTTGCGCCAATTTGTAATAGAGGACACGAAACCGCAAATGCATAGCCACGCACCCAAAGTGGACACGCATGTCTTAAAAGGAGCGGCGGCGCAGCTAAGTGAAACCATTTGGGCGTTGGCAATACATGCCAGTTTAGAAGATACAGTTTTAAACGGCATTGCGACCACGAGTGACCGCGCGCAAAGACTGGAAAACTTTCACGTGATTGGCGACTCCGTAAAAATCGAGAGCGTGCGTGATCACGTGGTTTCGGACGGAATACAAGAGAAAGCGTGGGCTCATGAGCAGACGCACCAAAAGAAGAGCATGAGTCCTTCCTTGCGTTGGAAGATGCATTGCAACATTTCGAGGGCATGGCGCAACATACGAATACACAGGGGCAGCGCGGCTCAATCAAGTGGCCTGGATGTCTGGCACTAGGTGGGGGAACCGCTACGTCAACAAATTAGCCTGGCGACGGACCCAACCATGTGCAGGTGTGAACACCGCCGTTGTATGCACCGGTTCTGGAGGAGCTCCCGATGGAGACACGAAACGTGTGATGGGTGTGCCAAAATTGGTGCGGTGGCCGCATGCGAACGCTGGTATTTGGGCCTTCGGTGGGGCCCCATGTGGGGCCACGAAACGTGTGAGGGGTGTGCCAAAAATGGGCGCGGTGGTCGCATGCGAACGCTGGCAGTTGGGCCTTTGGTGGTGATCTGTATGGAGCCACGAAACGTGTGAGTGCCAGAATGGGTGCGGCGGCCGCAAGCGAGCGCTTGCATTTGGGCCTTCTGTGGGCCCCCCCCTGTGGGGCCACGAAACGTGTGAGGGGTGGCGTTTGGGGGGCCGTATTGGGGCTCTCGTGGGCCCCTTTCGGGGCCCTCGTGGGGTTGTCTTGAGGCCTCGGAAGGCAATCGGAAGCGAAGAAGCGAGAAGGCGCAACTCATTGATGTCCCTTGCACTTTTGAATGCTGTTGGCCTTTTGGCGGCATCCTGGGGGTGCTCCGTGGCCACTTGGGGCCGTCTTGGAGCGTTCCTGGGGCCTTTTGGAGCATCTGGGGAGCCATCTTGGGGTATGTTGAGCCATCTTGGAGGTCATCTTGGGCTCTACGAGGCACTCTTGGCGCCATCGTGGGCCATCTTGAACGCTCTAACGCGTCGCGGATCCCCAAGTCCAGGTCCAGGGGGGGAAGGGGAGGGGTCAAGACACCGCCTGGATAGCAAGCCGTCTAGCTCACTCCCACCCGCTTTCCAACACATGAGTAACACCCGAGCCTGAGCTTGTTCAGCGGTCGTCTTCGGATGGACAGCTACTGGGAGCCAAAACCGACTCCATGTGCGCGACGCTGGGGCGAGGTGCGCTACACGTGCCAGGCGCGCCACGCGCGCCAGGCACCCCTGGGGCCCGAGCGTGCCAGGCACGGCTGGTGCGCCAGATGCGCCACGTGTTCCGCGTGCGCCAGGTGTGCCGCATACTCCAGCCGCGCAAGGTGCGCCACGTTCGGGGCATGTGCAGAGTGTGTCAGGTGCGCTTGCGCACGTGACAGCACACATCGGGAAACATGATGGCCCCCACCATCCTTGTCGAAACCAATGCCCATCATTGTATCTGGTGGGCCTGCGCACAGCAGGCCATACGCCACCACCCCCGTCGTCCCTGTCAAAAACCATTCGACAGTGATCACGGGGTGGCCGCGCATGATCCAGATTTAGCCGCGAGGTGCATGATGTATTGTATGTTGTTGGGGATGGCATCCCTGCGCACAGCAGGCAATATGCAGGCACCCCCGCCGCCCCTGTCAAAAGCAATACAAAGTGCTCGCGGGCCCCACGAACATGAATCAAGACTTCGCCCCAAAGTGTACGTTGTAGTGTTTTTGACAGGGATGGTGGGAGGGGCCGCATCGGGTTGGCCGCGCATGCTCCAAATGTGGAGGCAGAGTGCGTTTTGTAATGTGTTGCGACAGGGATGGTGGGGGGTGAGCATGGTTCTTGGTTGGCCGCCGGTCGCCTGGGGGAGGGGATGTAGATCTATTGGGAACAGTGATAAACACTTCCCCGAAGGAGAAGAAGGGGGTTCTATAATTCAGCTCGCTAGACCACCTACACTCAGAGGGCTTGTGGGATTTAGAGGCTATCGGTTTCACTAACAATCCACCGATGCGACTGTCAACTGATTGGCCGATATCACGATAAATCAGTCTCACACCGTACTATCGGTCCCAGCATCACCCTATCAAACGGTCTTTCCACCTGTTGGTGCTGGCATCTACCTATCGATCCCACTATCGTTAAATCCCCCGATCACACAATCGACCGATCGGTCCCACAAGCTACTTATCTACATGTGTGACAACAGCAGTACAACCACGGGACAACCACGGGACATTTCATTGTGAAACAACCACGGGACAACCAGTGGATTACCAAAGGACAACCACGGGCCGACCACCGGACAGCCACGGGACAATCACAGGCCAACCGTGGAACGGCCTCAGCACAACCACGGGACAACCACGGGACGATGACAATCACGGGGCAATTTCGGGACAGTGAGACAACCGCTGGACAGCATCGGGACAACCACGGGCCGACCCCGAACACGCCACGGGACAACCGCGGGACAACCACTGTGGACAACCGCGGGACCACCGAGCGCACACCCCGGCGGACCTGCGCCCGACGCAGTTTGGCATAATTTGGGCTCAGCTGGGGCAGGCAGGATCATGATCCTCAGA